TATATATATTCTCAGATATCATATAAAAGTGAATTATAAAGGCTGTGTCCTCACTTGTGATGAATTTTAATCTTGGATATAAAAATATCATGGCATAACAGATTGGTTAGTCCTTAAGGACCCATAGGATTATTTGTTGCTAGACTGTCAGTTTAATGCAGGCCAAAAAAATTAAAATTTGGATGTTGTGGGAATGGATTCAGATTTGATGGACCCTATACAATCCTTAACTTGCAGCAGTAGGTAAAAGCTCTCTGGGCTTCCATGAGCCAAACATATCAAGTTTTACACAGTGCCCTGAAAATTTAAATTAGGTCCATTAGCTGTCAAATTGGAATGTAAGTGTTAAAAAAAACATTAAATTAGGGCTAGGCAACCTTGTGTGATGTTTGGGTAAATTATCTCAGTGGAACTAAAATGTTGTAAAAATATTTTTAAAAATTGTTCATTCATTAGTTGAAAAGATAAGGTGATGCTTGACTATGAAATACACATTGAAAGCTTTGTTTCTGGGGCCTCTTTAAAAGGCGGTGACAAGCTCCGTCCAAAATATAATTTAGTCATTCAAGAAGAAAAACTAATCAGTTAAAATATAATTATTTCAGATTCCCTGATACTCTGGGTTATCATCGCTGGACAAAAACAATGGATTTTTTTTTGTATTGTAGGAATGAGAAACAAATGGGGTGGGGGTTTTTTGGTTTGTTTTTTTTTTCCAAATGAACAGGGCTTCTAAGAATTTTTAAAAGATTGGCAGCAACAGTTAAAGTGCTTAGCTTACAACATCCTTCCCCCATTTTTCTTCTCTGATGCCCTTCAGCAGCTGGAATGGGTATTCATGACATGTGTTTATGAAATTAAGCACTTCATAAAATATTTACTATGAAATAAACAAAGAAAATGCTTATAATTCAATAAGCTGTCATCTAGTGCATTTGCTGTGCATATGAAAGCTATATGCACTACTGAAAAAAATAAATTTTAGAAAGAAAGAACAGTATTTGTGACTTTAAAAAAATATACTGATATTTCATGTATCCCTTTATTTTTACTTTTCTTTTCTTCAGTTTATACCAGATTCAAAAACTCTTGTTCCAGTTAAAGTAATCAAACAAGGTATTGTGGGACTTCTCATGCTGATATTTATAGAATAGAAAGAATGTGCATGAAAAGAATTTATGAGTGTAGCTTGTATGCAATGGAAGCATAAATAAATATGCTTTAATTAAGCATGGTAGAAATGTTCTAAAATATCACCTCTTTCAGCAAATTCAGTTGCCTCAGACAATTCCCCTCAGATGTGAGAGAAATCTTGCAGTAGTCAAGTCATATAGCAGAACTTGTCATCCTTGCAGAAAATCAAATAAAACTTGGATTGAATTCATCCTTTCCCCCTCCCCCCCAATGGTTTGGCAACAAAGCAGGAATCCCTCCTTATGTAGCCTGTGGATAGGAACAATTCAAGGAAGGCGATGCAGAATCAATACTGTCACAAGCTTTTTGCAAATAAAGCTGTACTGCATATCAATATATTGATTTTGATAATTCACAAGATTCTGGCCCCTTGTCAAGTAGATTTTTAAAAAGTATTCTAGTAATATTTGATAAGTGCTATATTTTAGTATATTTCTTTCCCAACAGGAAAACTATTTTCCACTTAGCAAAAATTGTGTACAGCATTTTGCATGACTAGATCTAGTCCAAGAACCCAGTTTTGCATATGGTCATTATATCAGGAACCCAGAGATCTGTACTGGAAAAATTAAAGTGAATCTTGGATAGGTATGCCCAAATTTAAGTAGAAATAACCTGTAACATATTATCACGTACATTATCTACCATGGTTCAGGGTTTTGTTTTGTTTTCCTTTAGGAACAGGGATCACTCGAGACTTAGTGTGTAGATGGTGGCATTCAAGGCTTCAGTAAGAGATTGACTGTCCATTTCAGATCCTCCAGTGGTTTTCATGGCTAGTGGGAAGGGAGAAGTTTGTTTTGGTAGATATGGTCTTATCTTCCAGAGAAAGCTACAGCTGTCTCCTAGTAATTTATATTTACCTGTAATTTATTTAATAAAATAATGTGCCTGACAAATTGGCCTGCTGACGTTTAAGGAGTTGTCCTGATTCCCACTTATTAGTGTGGTCATGTGCTCCTTCTTTGGAAAGAATGTCTGGAGACAGTCCTCTTCTTTTTGACAATGTAAAAATTGCTGTCCTTCCACTAACTCTTTGCTCTTCAAATCCAGTACAACTTTGTAGTAAACTGAGAATAGTCTCAACACCATATTATAATTCATTGTGAACCTTATCCACTCAGTTCTGCTTACAAATAGAAAAGTTCATTTAAAATTCATATTCTTCTTCACATTCTCCTCTTTCTCTGCCTTCCAGATAAAGACTCTGCATTTTGATGCATGTCTTATCAAATAATTAGTGCTGCTTCTGTAGATTTGGCCTATGCATTCCCTCAGTTTCTGTATGATGTCAAAAAAAAAAAGATTATTTGTGTTATTTCTGTACCTATCTATCCCACTGATTCCCTCTGCCCCCATCCCATTTTGTCTTTTAATCAGATGACATACATTCATTTAGCCTCCCAATATATTTCCTTGATACAATTTTTCTGTTCATTCTTAAATGGTGATAGAAGCTGCTGTGGAAAAGCATGATTTTGAAGGGCTGCATGCCAATTTAAAGAAATAATTAGTAAATAGTCCCTATTATAACAACCACATATAAATTTCCCTCTCATGTAGGCGCTCATTTTTTCCTTCATTTTTAGAAATTCCATTTGCAACATAGGCTAATGGGAACATTTTCTGTTAGCTTGAAAGGCAAGCCCTTCAAGCATGCCATTGGACCTGGTGCATTACTTCCTCTCTTGTAGCTGCCAAAACTACTTTCACTAAAATCACTGTGATTTTTTTATTGCCCTATCTGAAGTTTCCAAAGTTTCCTAGTCTGATAACTTTTCACCTTCAGATCCATCTTTTCATTATGTAATGTTACATAATACTGAATATTGAGTTTCATAATTTTGTAAATATCGACAAAAGTATCTATAATTTAATAGAAATTAGTAGATAATAAACGTACAAGAACATTCAGAAGCATTCATATCAGCCATAATATGTATCAGGTTTATCACACAAAAACAGGTATATAGATTTCTAAGAGATCTATATTAAAATATTGTATCTATAATTCATTCTTATTATTTTCACAGTTCTTCAAAATATTACACATCGGACACAGTCTAAAATTCTAGAGAAGTCTCCTTTATCAGGACCAATACTAGGTGACTAAGATGTTCATTATTTCTTATAGGCATTTGGTGACTTACTTTCACAACTTATTTTTGGGAGGCTCTAAGTGGATATAATAGTTAAACTAAATCTTATTAGTTTGTACTGCATTTGATCATGAAGCCATATAAAAAAGGAATTTAAAAAATCTGTAGTTAAGCTTTTTGTAAATGGTAGTGCCAATTTTGCTAATAACAATAATACTTTATTTCATTAATATTATCACTTCTTGAATGACATTAAAATTTTGGTTTGAGATCCTGACATCTCCAGGAAAAAGTTACTGTAATTACAAGAAAGCCTGTTTGGGGTGGTAAAGGAAGCCTGTTCTTCAATATCAGTTATTGAAAAATGAACACATAATTTTCTATGTTTATAAGATGAAGCTATCATTCTTTTCTTACCTCTTTCTCCTCCAACTGACCCTTTCTACTACTGAGACTAAACTCTACATAACTGGAATATTAGAAACCTTCTAAATGAATGACTCATTTATCTGTATGTGTAGTGCACCTTATTGTTCCTGATTTCAATGCAACACAACAGAAAACTCCATCTTCTTCAAGGTTGGATGTATTTGAAAAACCAAAGAAAATTCTAGGTAAGTAGAAAGCCTTAAATGAGCAGAATTTTACTCTGAACACATAGGCTGAATGTAGTCCACTGGTCAAGTATTACAATTGCCACATGCTTAACTATGTCCATGATGTGAAATGCCAGATAAGTCATTGGATCTATATACAGCTTCCAGAAGGCCACTTTACTTATTTGCCTAACTAACCATAGGTTATGCTGGACTAAGGCAGATACAGATAAAAATCCAAATTTACAGAAGCTAGATCTAGGCCAGCATAGCCTTGTTCTATTACTCTGTAATGAAATAATTTCAGAAAGATATTATGACAGCAAGTGGGAAGATTAACTTCTGCTATGACTCCAGAGTTAATTGTACTAATTACAACTAGTACAAATTGTTATTTAACAAGGACTTTAAAAGTAATGCTTTGTAGATAAAGTCCAACTGACTGCAGTTTATGGTTGTTTCTGATGTGCCAGGTCTTATTTCCTGTTAGTGACTTTTTCCATTTAAGTATCCCGGGAGACTATTTCTGATTATTACCTGTAAAAGTTCCAAAATCAATCTATTCAATTTTTTAAATGATAAATGTGCTAAATTAAATTGCTTAAGTCATGATTTGCTTCAGAAACTAATTCAATTGTTTCCCTATCAGTTATATTTAGGAAATCAGAGTAGATTAAAAAAAAAAAATCAAGTCTCATGAATGTACAGAAGATTTTGCTACGGAGTTCTATGGGAGTGGATTTATTTAATGTTGTTATTGTTGCTATAGTCAGTTTTGTTAGATTGGTTGACAATGTTTCTGTCAAATTACTATAATTATGTTTAGATATATTATTTATTTGAATTTTAGTTCATTTACTGTGGATTTTGTTGTCCTGGGCAGACTCAGCAATATATAATAAATATACAATTTCCACCAGAATACAGATGGTAGTGCTGAATTAGTTATCATTTGGCTTTCTCTGGTAAAACTTACATACAGAGAAAGAATTTGCCTATGACAGATATATTTGGAAGAAACATAGCTTTCCAAATGTTGCATTTAAACACATTTTTTTAATTTAAAAAAGCTTGCATCAGAAAATGTATGTAGAAAAACATTTACATCTGGAAATGTATATAATAAAATTATTTCCTGAGAAATTTTCATTAAAAATAATAGACTTTCAGGCAATGTGGTGTGAGTTCTTTATATTAAGGAAAGTTGAAAATGAAAATAGATGCACCTATTGAGAGTGTAAAAAGTACATATGGTGAACTGGAATACTGCTCTACTAACTTAAACAGTAAATTGAATCAATGTATACTAATTCACACAGCCTGAATACAAGTAGTTAATATTAGCCGCAGATATAGGTTATAGTTCTTTCCTTTAAAAAGTAAGAATTCTACTCTTTGCTTTATGCAGCTAAGAATAAAACTCAAGAATGGCTTGCAGAATCAAAGACATCAGAGGTAAAAGAAATCACCCCACAATCCGAGACTGGTAATTATTTTGCTCTTTCTTTCTATATAGTGATTTGACAAGGACTTTTATTTAATTATTTATATTGAACTAAAATCAATAGAACATTACATTATTCGGCAACATATATTGAGAGACATACATTTTCCTGATTTTTATTGTTCAGTTTTTCAGTGACTTCCAGAAGCCCACTGAACATGTGTGAAAAACACTTGAGCGCTTAATCTGTGTTTTGTGCAGTTTTACTTCGGGGAGTAGCAGTTGAAGATGTATGGGAAGAGAAATCGGGGAACCAGCTTTTGACTTATCAAAAGGAGGGAAGCTGTGGTTTCCCCAAGTTGGCAAGAGAAGCAGTGGGTGGAGATAGGTAGGAGTGGTGCCAGTTTTCTAATTATCCATGGAATGATCATTCCATGGGACTTGAGACCTGACAGCAGGAGACCAAACACCTTTCCAGTAAATCTGCCTTTCTTCCCCATATATTAGGCAGTGCAGCAAATAATCCATGGGTGGATGGGCATTTTTGTCCAGTGGTATTCAGGAAGACTGCTGGAAGCATGTCAAAACCAGTATCCACTCAACCCCTCTGATCAGGCATTACTGAGCCTGTGTGGGCAACATTACTCTGATGAGTAATAGCTAAAGAGCCACTTCTCCCACCCCCTTCCCCAACAGTTCTCTGATCATTTGAGACACCTTCTGTCACTGCCATGCATACTTCTTTGTCATTCCTCCAAACCCTTGAAACCAGGTGTCTGATGTCAGATCTAACAAGGTTAGCAAGAAAAATTGGGGATATGGCTTTTTGGCACAGAGCAGAGACCTGACCCTTCTGCTTTCACAAAGCAAATGCTCTTGAAAATCATTGCCCAGGGACTGGGGAGATCATGTCTCTCCTTTAATCTTACCTCAGTATGATGCACTGCAGATAGACTGCACAGCTCATCTTGTGCTGAAAGAAGCTGGAAAACACTCCATTAACATAGAAGCAGAAAACAGGTTAAGGCTGCCTTTTTGGAAGTTCAGGAGCAAGTTGAAGATAATGTCATCTTTTCATGTTCTCTAAATATGATTGCAAAGGCATCACTAATCTGCAGTTAACAGATTGTGCCAAAGAAACCGTAATATTTTCCCCAAGTAGATGTCTCTATTTCATAGCTACAGTCACCATACCTTTGAATTTTTGAGCCTAGGTTCTGTCAAATTCAACTTCTTTTCTGCTTATTTCTGTTAGTATTATCTGTTGACAATATTGGTATTGTCTGTTGACATCATGCTTTTTTTTTTTTTTTAAATATTGACCAGCAGGCTGGCTTTTGCACTCTCTTCTTTAACCTTCAATGAGAAAATTTTTAAAGCTCCCTCGCTTCCAGCTACCAAAGTGGTATGACTGGCATATCTGAGCTTAATGTTTCTTCCAGCAATTTTAATCTTAATTTCTATTTCTCCTAGTCCAAGTGAAATAAATATGAATACTGTATAGAACCTTAGTACAGAGAATGACAATAATGCAGCCTGAAATACATTTAGCAGCATCCCATAGACATATACTTAAATGTTAGCAGTTCAGTTAAAATCAGATAACTATGCATGGGATTCTGCTAGGTCACTTCAATAGTACAAAAGTTTATACCATGAAACAATAAATAATAATAGATAAAATATACATGTTGACACAAGCCAAGCAACCCCTTCCCCCAAAGCATTAAAGCAATTTAATGGGAGGGACTGACACTGGAAGGTCAGTGCACTTTTGGAGCTTTGGTCAGATGTAGCTGCTTTAACATTTCAGATCGGGGTGTTTCACTTGCACCAATACAGTTTGTGAAGTGCTGCTTCTGAATGTGTTGCACAGCTATAATATAAATGTTAAAGAGACTTTATTTATGGAACAGAAGCAAAATTTTGCTAAATCACTAGTTGATCACAGAATACACATTTTTCACATGATGGCATTAAACAGGCATCTGCAGGCTGAGATCCAGAGCTATTATTAGATGTACAGGTGGGCATCTGCTGTCTAAAGCTAGTGAACTGGATATATCCCTTAATGAAGGCAAAGGGAAAAATGATCTGAAAATTGTTATGCAATTGTGTGTGTGTGTGTGTGTGTGTGTGTGTATGTTTTACATCATTCAGATGAGAAACAAGGTTGAGGGTCTTGTAACTCACCTGATTACTTCTTGGTTGAGGGCCAAGGGAATGGGAATGAACTTAACCATAGAGTTTCCCCTTGAGCACATATTCTTTAAGAACCTGTCTGGGCTGAACATTGACATGGGATCAGCCTCACTTCAGGCCATGTCCTAGTTCCTGTAACTTTTGCATTGGAAAAATAAAGCTGCCATTTGAGCAGACAAGCTTCTTTTCTAATGCAGATTCCTGGTACAGGAAAGAAAAGAAGGATCCAGAATGGGATTGTAATGAGGAACAAAGAGCTGAGCCATCAACTCTAGGCCAAAAACTCAGTCTGCTGTTGAGTCCCCGGTCCAGCCATTTGCATTAAGAAAAGCCCATAATGGGTGTTGGTGCTTTTGGTTCTTGCAGAGAACAAGTCATTTCTGCTTCTTTACTGTGTTGGAACTATAGCACAGTCTCTCCTTTATACCTTACTTATCAGAATGCTTAAGGAGTATGTGCTTGTAATATATTGCACGGTGTGCTTTTAAAGTCACATATAATATTTTATATCACATCTGACTTGCTGTCAAAGAGTAAATTCAGAATTTAGATTCTTTTTTGGCAGTTCATTTTCTTCATTTTCTTATTTGTGCCACAAACTTTACAAATGTGTAAATCTGCTATTTCAGTTTTTTTGCGCTCCATTTTCAACAAGTCAGAACAGTTCTTACTTTACCTTTATAATATAGCCTGGGCTTCTTCATGTTTGCTGATATTTCTTCACTCCTTAGTCTTTTATGAAATTACTCAAGCTTCCTGTGAATTCTTTTCATGTATAAATTACATCTGATCACTGGGATGTTTTCCATTTGATTTCAGTGACTGTAGGACTGGCTCTTGTTAGCTACAACCTTGCCTGTGTTCAAGGTTTATATAGAAAGGACACCTTGGGATCAAGCTTGACACCTGGTGACTAGATGGACCTAGGTGTGCATTTATTAGCAACAACAATAAAATATTCGCCTCCATTGGTAACAATAAAATAGTTTGCCATTGCTTTTGAAATGTTATCCAATGTCTTAATCTAGCCTACAAACCTGAAACATTTTGGTGCTATTCTATCCAAGTACCATTTAGGTCCATCCCTGCTTAACTTTCAAGCCCAGATACAATCTAATGTATTTTATAAAAAGTAGTTCATATCCTTCCTAGGTTTGATCCATAATTTAGCTTAATTTTATTGATGTTAACCAAGTTTAAGCTAACAGTCATTATATTCATACAGCTATGGCTGACCAAGATTGGGAAAGTAGTAAACCTACAGCTCCCAGTGTCTCAGAAGAATCTACAATCAGTCAAGGTAACATATACTCTTTCCATGCTTAATTTTGCTGTTTGGAATTACAAATTAACATGTACTCAATTGAAAGACTGCCACAATGATGCATTGTTTTTCAGCTATGAGATGCTATATCACAAATGAATTTCTAATTAAAAAAGAAACGTGGCTCAACTTTTTGAATGATTGTGAGATTGTGCCCAAAATAACTGCTTAGAAAGATGTATAGTAACAGCACATGTGCATAAAAACTGCCCATTTTATAACATTAGTCAGTATGCCTAGTATTAGTCTGTGGAATTTTAGGAACAGAACTGTAGGTGCTACATTGAGAGAAAGTAAGGGAACCTTTTTCAATCCGGTTCACTTCATATGAGTTGTAAGTGCAGTTCATGGCCAATAGTTATTTTGGCTGGGAGTTCTGAGACCTGTAATTCTGACATATCTGGAAGACATCTGGTTGTGAGTGGCTAATGAAAGATAATAGCTCTTATAAAAATGTCCTTAACTGTTATTTTTAAAGCTCTGAAAATGAAATAATAATCTTCAAAGCCTAGAAATGTGGTATGTTTATGCATATTTTACATTTATTGAAGAATAGTTTTTGTTTGTTTATATGTTACATTTATATAGCTGTTCATCTCACATAAAGCAACTCTGCTAATCAAAGCCCTTCCCAGTTTATGTTCCAGAGAGAAGAGGGAAGTGAAGAAAGACGGTTTTGGGGAGTGGCTGGAAGGACAGGGATGAGGGAGGGGTTTATTTATGTCAAAAAAACAGGGTTATGATTACAGACAGAATATAGATATTAAGTGGATCTGTTTATTACCTAAATAAAGTTAATTAATAAAAGTGCACATTTCTTTTTTTAAATGATAACAAAGTGACTGTACCATTCCCTCAGAAATTTACAGAATGAAAAGAGAAAAGCAAAAGAATTTTTGAACTAGAAAAAAGGTTGGTGATAGTGGCAGTTCAAATAAATCTCCTAAGATTAAAGAGATTTCACTTCAGTTTTGAAGAACAAAAAGATAATAAGGAAAGTCATCCTTAACAGAGGAGTATGCAACACTTCCCAATAGTGCAATCCAATGTTTGTTTGTTGAAAAGTAAGGCACGCTTTATTCAAAGGGACTTATTCCCAAGAAAACATATTTCCTCTGTCCTTTCCAGGAATATTGCAACTGTAAGATTTTGAAAAATATTCTATTCTGGTAGGCAAGACATCTAATGCTTCTTTATAAATTGCTTGCTGAAGTATTTCCATTCCCTTTAACAACTATATCATGGCTTTTGGAGTGATGAGGTGAGAACACAAAATACTATCTGTGTGAATCTGTCTTCCCTGCTTTGTTTTGAAGTATGCCATATATGTGGTCACAGTATAATTTATGTCTACAGAAAAGGTGTAACTTTTTATTTCTTTAGCTCACACTGAAAGTGAACTGGAATCTTCAGAACCTAGCAAAACTCCTGTGGTTGAAATGCCCCTTGTCACATTGGATAACTATTTTGTTTATTACCATTGCAGGGTTACTGAATTGTACTACTGATATGTATGGTACAAACATGATATTTAAATGAATCAAATTTCTTGCATTAATGTATCTTTTGATTTATTGATTATGTGCCATCAAGTCATTTTCAATTTCTAGCGACCACATAGATAGATTTTTCTTCATGATGATCTACCCATAACCTGATCTTCTAGGTCTTCCAACAGTGCACTCATTGCCAGTGTAACTGAGTCCATCCACCTGGCTGCTGGTCATCCTCTTCTTCTCTTTTCTTCCACCTTTCCCAGAACAAAAGCCTTCTCCAGAGAGCTAGCTCTTCGCGTTATGTGTCTGAAGTAGAATAATTTGAGCCTGATCAATTGTACCTTGAGTGAGAACTCTGGGTTGATTTGTTGAATGATCCATTTGTTTGTTTTCTTGGGTGTCCACAGTACTCAAAAACTCAAAAATGACAATGCTCTTCCTGTCCTGCCAAGTCCAACTTTTGCTTTCATAGAGTGTCACAGGGAATACCATGGTTTACACAATTTTGATCTTTGTAGGTATAGACATATCACAACATTTGAATATCTTTTCCAAAGCCTTCATGGCTGCTTTATCAAATGCTAGTATGCAGCATATTTCTTGACAGCTTATCCTTTAGTGTTGATGGCTGATCCTAAAAGGCAGAAGCTATCCACCACTTTGATATCTTCATTGCCAATTCTAAGGCTGGTTGTTCTACCTGTTGTCATTAGTCTGGTCTTCTTTATATTTAACTTTAGTTTTAGTGTTGATGGCTGATCCTAAAAGGCAGAAGCTATCCACCACTTTGATATCTTCATTGCCAATTCTAAGGCTGGTTGTTCTACCTGTTGTCATTAGTCTGGTCTTCTTTATATTTAACTTTAGTTTTAGTGTTGATGGCTGATCCTAAAAGGCAGAAGCTATCCACCACTTTGATATCTTCATTGCCAATTCTAAGGCTGGTTGTTCTACCTGTTGTCATTAGTCTGGTCTTCTTTATATTTAACTTTAGTTCCTTTTTTTTCACTTTTCTCCTTATCTTTTATTACTAGACTTTGAGATCCTTTGCATTTTTGGTTATCAGGGTAGTGTTACCAGCATAGCACAGGTTATTGATGTTTCCTCCTCCAATTTTAAAACCACACTCATCTTCCAATCCAGCGTCCCTTAATTATTATTATATAATTAATAAGATAATGATCTTATTATCTTTAAGATTTAGATAATTAATAAGATAATAATTAATTAGATAATTAATAAAGATGAGTGTGGCTTAAGGCTTAATATATATTCAACATATAGGTTGAATAAATAAAGGGAGAGTATACAGCCTTGTCACATTCCTTTTCCAACCTGGAGCCAGTCTTTTTCACTATGATCTGTCCAGACTGTGGCTTCCTGACCTGAATATAACTTTGAGGACAATGAAATGTTCTGGGATTCCTATTTTTCTGAGTACATTCCATAGCTTGACATGATAGACACAATCAAAGGCCTTTCTATAATCAATGAACCACATACTGACTTCTTTTTGGTATTCTTTGGTTTTCTCAATTATCCAGCATGCATTAGCAATAATGTCTCATGTTCCTTGGCCTTTTCTAAAGCCAGCTTGAACATCTGGCATCTCTTTTTCCATGTAACTGATGTATCTGTCAAATTATAATTAAGCAAGTAGTGTCATTTCTCTGAAGGGGATGCATTAGCAATAATGTCTCATGTTCCTTGGCCTTTTCTAAAGCCAGCTTGAACATCTGGCATCTCTTTTTCCATGTAACTGATGTATCTGTCAAATTATAATTAAGCAAGTAGTGTCATTTCTCTGAAGGGGAATGTGTGAATGTTTATTTAAGGACTTCTATTCAACATGTTCACTGAAATATCTACATCTTGAAAATGTAAATGGAGCAGGGCTAATTATTTTATTAATACAAGTAAGTGCTGGAAGTCAAATATACACCTCAGCCTATCTATATCCCTATATTAGAGCTAATATTTTCTGTTTCCCTAGCTAATGAAGTGTGTGAATTCTTTCTGTTTTTATCCCATGTCTGTTGTCATCTGATTTGATTCAATAATTCAGATTTGGAAAATCAATCAGATTTATTTCAAACAATTGGTTAATTTAACTTGAATTTCTGAACCAGCTTTAAAAAAAACACCCTGTTTCTGCATATGTACATTTGATTCAATCTGGTTTTCAAATTAAATATCTGAATCAAAGCTTCATATAACCTTACTATGTTGCCTCAGGATGGTGAAGGTGTTATTGACATAAGGCTGGCATAGCTTAGCTTCGCAGGTTGGCTTCAGTATGAGAATAGGAAGGGATGCCATTTTTGCTTCAGGCAGCAAAATATCCTGTAGTGACTCTGAATTATTAATTGAATGAAATGTGAGCAGCTAGAAAAACTCAAATCTGTTCTTACTGGCCACAGACGAAAACTTTAAGTAATCAGTTGAATCCTTGTTTCTTACCAGATTAGGATTTGTTGGTTAGGATAATGAATTGGTTCTTTTGTCTTGTTCCTGTCAGAGTCACACCTTGGGCCAGTCCTTGAGTGGTCCCAGAAGAAAGACAACTGGACTCTGCTTTAGTTAAAGCTACAGACTATATCATATACAGCACTTAATAACACACACAACAACAACACCTAACACCCAGCAATAACCAACAGCTCGCAGGCTGCTTATATCCCCCACATTGTGCTGAGTCAGTATCCATCAGGTGTGAGCACTTGGCTCAAAAGCCCCGGCTACATGGTTTGCCTCCTGTTATTCACATAGTAAAATTCCTACTGAGTATACCTCAACAGGTACTTTTGCAACTTGTAGCTCAAGCAATTTGTCTAACTTATGGCTTTTTCAAAAAAATCTTCTGTTTGACAAAATTCAACTTCTAGGTCTCATTTACTTCCATTAAATCTGGTTGATTATAAATCACTTTTATCTTTTGTTTCAATTTATCCTTCTGTTTTTACATAGTTTCTGTCTATCTGATGCCTGAAAAATAAACACTCCTCTCATAGATGCTTTGCTAGTGTTCCATACTGCAGAACACTGATAAGAAACATCAGAAGTTAATTTGATAAGTTTTTTAATTCCCGCTCATGCTTCAATTTGATATCCTCTTATATTCCTAAAAGTTTGTTAATACTCCACTTCTTCAGCTTGTAGGTTTCTTTGTTCCCTTAATCTTATTTTTGCACTTCTTGGTTCAATTTATCCTCAGTATAATCACCACAATTAATCAACAAAATACAAAGTAATTGAAAAACTGGTATCTCCAAGTAAATTATTTGGAAGAGAGATTTCCCATTATTGGGGGAGGATCTTTTGGCAGAGTGGCCACTATAGCAGAGCTTGGTCCATTTTATTTTTACCTTGCCATTACAATCCATAGCATGGGCAAACAGTAGGGCTGATCTTTAAGAGGTACAAAACAACAGATTGCAGTGTAAAGACTATAAATAATAATGCAGCATATAAATTATATAAAACATTTGGCTCCTAGATAATCTATGCTTTCTTGGTCCTAAGGAGATGCTCAGAAATAATATGGAGTGTTGTGCATAAAACATTCTTGATTCAATCAAAGGAAAATGTATTATAAAAATTGTAGGAAAGATAAATCTATTTTATATTCACAGGATTAAGTGTTAGTAGAAATTGAGAGAAAAGAACCCTAACAATTAGCATGTGTTTGAAGAAAATGACATTTAAGCACAGAGATCCATGATTATCATATTTTCAATCAGTGTAGTAGAACTGAAAAAATGATACCCAGAAAGGATAGTTCTCATCCTTTCCTGTTAGAATTGGTGTATTCTGATGGATATTTGGGATGTAACAGATTTGCATTAGTAAATGGACTCATTAGTAGTTTGTGGGTAAATTGGGGCTTTTTAAGGGGACAAGTATCATTTAGTTCTTCCCTCTCTACACCCAACTTTTAGCAATGTAAAGGTGGTTCATGATAACTTTTTTAAAATATAATTTTTTATTAAGAATTTTTATTACAATAGTAAAAACTAATACAGACTAAACTTAAAGAAACTTAAAGAAAGAGAAGAAAATTTTTTTAAAAGTGCAGGAAAAAAGAAAAAGAGAGAAGAAAGAGAAAAGTAAGGGTTAGGTTTAGGGTTAGGTTTATTAAGAGTAAAGTAAGAATATAATAAAGAAAGAGAAAAGAAATATATAAAGAAGTGGCCTCTAACCTTAATCACAACAAGTATAAAAATTTTAGTAACTGTTCATCCCCTGTAAGGTTACAAACAGATATCTGTTCAACCCATATTCCATCCCTTATCTATAAGCAAATCCATAAAACATCAACCTTTTAATCCTGGTGTCAGCAAAAAGTCCATAAAGGGTTGCCAGAACTTTGCAAAAAAAAAAAAAAGTCTTATTTTAACCCTGATCAAGTAAGCCAACTTTATATTCCTTCCTTTTACTTTTAACAGTCACAATCTTTAATTCAATCAAATATTGTCATAGGATTTGATTTCTCTTCAATTCTTTACTCCATGACACAGATTTCTTCAAGGCTTTAACAAGCCTCTTTTGTAGATCCAATAAGAAAACATTTTCAAAATCATTTTCTTGGTTTATCATTTTTATTTCCCTTTTAATTTTTAAAACTCCAGCCAGTTTCTTTTGTATATCCAGTATGTCCAGTATCCAATATGTCCTTTTCCAAATCATTCTCTTGCCCTGTAATTTGCAGTTCCACTTTCAGTACTTTCTCTGTCTTGTCAGATAAAACTTGTTCCACATCTGTCATTCCTTCATTAACATATTTTGGACATAGTCTATCCATATAAACAGACATCATTACTGACAGTGTTGATACTATAGTTACTGATTTCTGGCTTCATTCTTCAAAGATCTCCTTTAATGTTTCTGATGTTATAAAGTGTTTTTGTCATTTTGTAAGTCTGAGTATTAACTGATATTAAGAAAAGGCATGTATTTTTTTTCCTTCTGCTTAGAATCTTTAGTCTCCGTTGTCCAGTTTCTGAAATCATAAAGTAATTTATCTTTGTTATGACTTACAATAGCCAGGATACCCAAAATAAGACTGTTTCCCACGTGAAGCAATTTATTTTTTATAGTTATTTGCAAAATCTTGTAGTAAAAGTCAATATTCCGAATTGATCTGGACCCTTAATCTGTTTATAACTTTCTTACATCAAAATCTTATTTAACTTTTTGCTGTTTATTTCAAATTCTTTAAGTTCTTAAGGTTATAAATTAATTTTTCTTTTGTTCAGAATTGAAGATAAACTTACCTGATGACTTTTCGAACTTGTCGTTCCAAAGTCTCTGCTTTAAGATGGTTAATAGGCTATTGCTTTAAGATGGTTAAATAGGCAATTTCTAAAGTGATCAGAAAGTGAGGCTTACTAACTTAGTATCCTTTAAAAGGCTCTGCTGCAGTTGCAAGCAAGATGGCTGATCCCTTTGTTTCCCAATGCTTAATCCTGCAGAAAACCACTGTCCTGTGGTCTCTTCACAAAGAGCAGCCACGTATGGGCAATCTCCCATCCTCTCCTTATCCGGAGAGGTTCCGAGAAACTGGTCTACTCACTGGTTCCTCATCTTTGTCACGGTTGTTGGCTCTTGCGGAGATGTCCTCAGTTCACCATACTTTCCCAGAAGTCATGGTTCATGATAACTTTTTAAAAAACATTAGCTAAGAGTACCTCCATAAAGATTAACCTTCATAAACCTTGGAACTTGAATCTTTTGCCTTTGCAATATTTGTACAATACACATACTTCATTTATAACACTCAGAGAGAACTCCTTGGTTTTCCTGAGCCACTCTTTGCTATTAAACTAAAAATGTACAATGTTGTGGCTTTGAAAATGCCATTGAAAAACCATTAACAGAGTTCATCCCTGTTTTCCATTTATGGTAATTTCTATTCATCACAATCAATACCACTGTGGTTATAAAAAGGAATGGTCTTGTTTTCTTAAAGGAATGCCACAGTCCAACAGTCATTAAACATGCTTAATCTCACTGAAATATCTTCATCAAGATTAATCACTCTGTTGGATTGCAGCCAATATGCTTTTTCAATTGCATTTTAACAAAACAAAATGTTGCAATTCTCAAAATGTAAGCTTTTTGAAGCTGGTGAGCAACAGAGTCCTTTAAGTCCAATCACATATTTGTCTTTACCTAGCTACCTTCTTGCAGTGGCATTGGCCATACGTGTCCTTGCCTAACCATGATAATGTCATACATATGCTACAATGTCATAATGCAACTTCCATCTTTTCATATTTGTGTCAATCACACACAAATATTTTATTTATTTATTTATTATTAAATTTGTATGCCGCCCATTTCCCCCAATGGGTGATTCTGGGTGGCTCACAATTAAAAATCAAAAACCTATAAACAATTAAAATATCCCATAAACAATTAAATACTCAATCCATTAAAATCCACTAAAAACAAACCCTATACATAAATACTAAAGACAGTCAAGATGACGGGGGGGGGTAAAATCAATTACCCCACAAGCCACTTCCACTGATGCGAGCCCCCATCTGGCCCCCAGGTCTTCTGGCATAGCCAGGATTCCACACCTTTCCTAAAGGCCATGAGAGTGGGGGCACACCACACCTTGGGAGGAAGATTGTTCCATAGAGTGGGGGCCACAGCAGAAAAGGCCCTCTGCCTAGATCCTAGATAAATATGTAACAAAGGGGTTTTTTTTGTCATGATATCACAGTGCATATTGTCTCCCTTGCCCTCTGTACAATGGCGATAGCACTGGCTTTCTTGCTTGTGCTTGATTTAATGAACTGTTTCCTGCCATCTGATTTACTGAAAGTATTTATGCCGATCATTATCTAAGTATAGAGAGTATACAATTATGTCCATTGTATCATATCACTAAATCTTAAGTATTTATTTTTCAGGATTTTTGAAATCATATAGTGGCTTTTCTTGTTTTATTTTTGTTTTTTAATATTTAGATCTGCACAAGTTTCCAGGACTTAAACAAGACCATCTCCTATGCCTCAAATGCCCTCCTATGCCTCAAATACCACATCATTGGGCAATGTCGATTTCTTATTAATATTGCTTTAATTCCATTTTTGCTTTAAAATTCTTTAAAAGGATTAGCATTCAGATTATTATAGTCCAAAAACTCGATCTTGATAATATTTAGGTTTTTTAGTGTTAATGATATGTCTGGTTTTTATATCACAATTTCTTCAATTAAAGTTAAATTATGTCCTGGAAGGCTCACTGTAGAACAGATATAAATTTGCAATATGAATTCGGTGCCAATGTTTTTTTTTTAAATGACAATTTCTTTTACTTTAGCTTCAAGCAAAATGCAGCCAGTTCCTTCAGAACCCCAAACACCTGTTCCAAAGACTGTACAGACAAAGCCAGGTAACTATTTTCCTCCAATGTTGCATTTCAATAATGAAGTTTAGAAATAAATCTGTTCTGTGTTCAAAGAATATTTGGCTAAAGGCTCTTCCATATGATGACTCTATTTCTGGCTCAGCTGCAGTGTAGCTGAAATCACAGTAAAACCCCCTCATTCTCAGTGTTCAAGCTTGGCAAGTTTGAAGGCTGTTGTGGATCATTTTCAAATTGCCTTTGAAGGATTGGGAAGTAGAAGCAATGAACATTTGAAAATGCCCCAACTCATCTGATTAAATATCCAGGTAGGGAAATGAAATATATTCCGACATATACAGTAATAGAGCTATCCATATTTGATTCCAAGACAGTATTTCAAAGTATATGGATGCACAAACATACCCTTTCTTTGCAACTGGGTTTCTAATTGTGTTTTGTTCATCAAGCTATAATGGCATGGTTCACACACATTACACTAAACCATGATGGGAGAGTTCATGCATCATGCTGAGTCAAAATCAAGATTCACATTGTGGTTTATTATTTTGCATGAGACACAAAATCTTTATTTAGGTTTTAGCAGCAAGAAATGTTAGGAACTTATTTAAGAAAAGAAAAGAGATAATAGGTCTTGTTGGACAAGGTATTTATACCTGAATGTATCAGAAAGGACTAAGACATTGTGTGTGTTTATGTAAAAGAAAGTGTGCTCTATTTTGTTAAATGTATTTTAATGATCTATTGGTTTTATTAGAAATGGGCCTTTTCAAAAAGGATCAGGACTGTGATGTTAGTTTTGAATGCCATGAATATTAAACTAATAATTAAACTAATAATATTTAATAATAAACTAATATTAAACTAATAATTAAACTAGCACAAACAGCAACTTCAGAAAGGTCAATTTTCATTAGAGCATTCATAGAGGATGTATTAAACTTAGATAATATATATTTCAGACACTTTCAGATGAACAATATTGTCAAAAATGATTTTTTTATTTGACAAGAATCTCTTGACATTTAACCTTATGGTTACTTTTTATTGGATAAAAATATAAAAAATTGTCATCATATATTTCAGGGTTTTTTTTCTCTCAATTTTCCTTAATTCCTTTTGATCCATGAATGACAATATTACAAAGCAAGCCCGTCAGATTTTATTGCTTAGCCTGATACTTATTTCAAGTAAATTTTCTTGGGCTACTTCAATAAATATTTCCAAGCAATATCTATGAGTGTTTTAGTTGTATCAAATAAAAATATTTGTTTTTTCTGTAAGAAACAATCTGGGGACCAATTTATTATGAGTTTAAACTTTCTGTAAAAGACCCCTTTGTTAAAATGGGTATTATATTTTATCAGCACACAAATAGTTCTGAACTAGAATCTGAATCTATCTGTAAATGGGATGAATGCAATTTCTTCAGCCAAGAAAGATGATTCATGCAACTTTTTCCTAAAAAAAACTCTTAGGTTATGATCTTTCTGTTTTCAAGAAATCATTTTTCCAAGTCATCCATGTTTGCAAACAGACTTTAAATTCAATTAGCAACATAAATCAAGTACATTTTGTGCATACAGCAGGAAATTAATTCTTATTTCATGTAACTTTTTTTAAAGATTCCCCTATTTTTCACACTTTTTCCTCTAAATAAAATATAATATTATAGAGCGTGTATTATTATCATTATTTTTATTATTGTGGTTGGTCACACAGTTAGCCAGATGTTTAGACTGGATTTGGCATTTTTATCCACCTATCGAGTCCTTCTCAAGGACTGGGATAGGCAGATGTTGTGGTTTGATGGTGTTAAAGGTATCGTCGCAGGATGTAAGCTGCCCCAAGTAAAGCTGCCTTTTGTAATTAACTGACAGGGTTTTGTCAATGCCAATGGTGTTCAAGTGGTGCTCCAAATGTTTTGGAATTGCACGCAAGGCAGATATGACTATTGGTACTATCTTTGCTTTCTTTTGCCACAATCATTCTACTTCTATTTGCACGTCTGTATATTTTGTGATTTTCTTCAGTTCTTTCTCTCCTGTTCTGCTGTCTCTAGGTATTGCAATGTCCACTATCCAGACTTTTTTGTCTTTCTTGTCAACAATTGTTAAGTCTGGGGTGTTGTGTGGCAGGTTCTTGTTTGCCTGAATTCTAAAGTCCCAGAGCACTTTAGCTTCTTCATTTTCTGTTACTTTGTCTGTTTTGTGGTCCCACCAGTTCTTGCTTGCAGGCAAATGGTATTTCTTGCAGATATTCCAATGCACCATTGTTGCTACTTTTCTTGTTTGCCTGAATTCTAAAGTCCCAGAGCACTTTAGCTTCTTCATTTTCTGTTACTTTGTCTGTTTTGTGGTCCCACCAGTTCTTGCTTGCAGGCAAATGGTATTTCTTGCAGATATTCCAATGCACCATTGTTGCTACTTTTCTTGTTTGCCTGAATTCTAAAGTCCCAGAGCACTTTAGCTTCTTCATTTTCTGTTACTTTGTCTGTTTTGTGGTCCCACCAGTTCTTGCTTGCAGGCAAATGGTATTTCTTGCAGATATTCCAATGCACCATTGTTGCTACTTTGTCGTATTATTGTTTGTAGTCAGTCTGTCCAATTTTCTTGCAGCAGCTAACTAGGTGGTACATCGTTTCTTCAGCTTCTTTGCAGAGACAGCATTTGCTGTCTGTTGCTGTCTTCTTAATTCTGGCTTTGTATGCATTT